AAAATAAGAAAAAGAAAAGGTTGGCGCCCCCTTCCCGCTCTGTCACTCTCCTCCTTCTCTAGCCCGTCCTTATCTCACAGAGAGACCAGGCCAGGCGAGTCAGGACGGAAGCCCACCAACCTTCTCAGCCCTGTTCTCTATCTCGACGAAGAGACCAAGCCCAGGTGAGGCAGGCAGGGGACGTATAGGATCGAGCGAGAAGGGAAGAAAATAAAGAAAAAGCGCCGTCGCTTCAGGCTCACGCGGCTCTCTCCAGCGGACTCTCGTCATCCGCGGCCAGCCGCGCCGGGGTGTTCATAGTTGTGTCGCACGTTATCCCCGGCGCGTGGACTCTTTCGGACGGATTCATCGACGCTTCAGGCCCATGCGGATGCCTCCCAGCGGGTTATTGTAAAAAGAGTTGTTTTGAAGAATTCGGTTCTCGACTGGACTTCGGCTGGCGTCCCACTACCGCGTACACAGGAAAATCGATTGAAAAAAAAGTTTGCTCTACGCTTCCGAGATCAAGTCTCACCTAGAAGGGAGACGACCTGGCCAGCGGAACAAAGGAAGAAAGGTGCACTCCTGGCCTGCTGGACGTCGCAGCATGACTGTAGGCTTGTGATCGTGGCTTGGTTGGCGGTCATGGCGGCGGAACAAGGGAGGCGAGTTGAGACGATGTGGAAAGAAGAAACGCAGGAATCTTTGGATGAGTTTGGCTGAAGAGACTCGGCTACGTGGCGAATTCTGTGAACGAGGGTAGAATTGCGCTGAAGAGAAAAGAAGAGGAAAAGACCGGTAGAGATGAAGGACGGACGAAGACTGCTTTATAGAGAGCGTGAGACAGTGTAAGTCATGTCAATTTGATATCCAATGTGATAAAAAGGTGGAGTTGAAGTTGAGAAAAGGTTTGGGGCGGTAAAGGTGGAGGGGTCAAGCCGCGCATTCGGTGTGATCTGCAGCCGTGACACCCCTCCACCAGGGAAAAGGGCGCTAGCGAGCGTTGGTCCGCCTTGTTCCGGGGCTCGGAGGTACCTCACCTTGGGCGGTGCTCACCTCCACTGGGCCACGTCCCTACGGATGGGTAGGTACCTAGGTGGGCTGCGGGCACTTTGGCCCCTCCTTGCTGCCCCTCCAACCCCCCGGGCAGTTTCCAGCTTGAAGGGGACGTGGAAACGTCTCAACCTGCCCACCCCTTCCCTTTCCCACTCCAAGGACTAAAACCCACGGAAACCTGTGACAATCTCACCCTCGTCCATCAACGGTCCAAACCCCTCGGTGAAACTACGAGCGACTCGCAAATTCTCCCAAGAACTCGATGGCCTGATGTCTGAAACCTGATTCTGCAAATCGTCGATCCGTCACCCTCATACATCGCCGGGCTGCCCGTCTGCCAAGAGCACCACGCAATCAAGCTTACCTCACTCTATCTACCGAAGTCTTACTCGCTTGCGGCTTTGCATCGTCACTCCGCTTACCTTACCTCACCGAACCCCTGTCGTCCAATTGCTTACAGTCTTACCCACGACGCTCGTCTCGGCGTCCTTGTCGTCTCGTCAACTTCTCAACCGGCGACAGCGGGGCAGATAGCGTGTCAAAAGACGCAACTTCAGCTTGTTGCCAATCTTTAACCTTATTCAGGGTTTCTTGGCAGGCACATTTCATCCCTCCTTCCGACGACAAAGCCGGGTCTGGAATTTGGGCAGAACACCAACGCCATAGACAGAGCAGGCTAAAATCGTGCTGCCGACTCTTCGAGCAATTCATCCTGCCTCGGGTAAACCTTCGTCGAGGCTGCAGGTTGCGTCAACAGAGGAAGCAAACGGACGGGCATTAAGCCACTGTGAGAAACCAACCAGTGTTTCCAAGTCCGACAAGCATCCTCGAAACACCCAGAAACTGAGGGAAACCACCCATCAAGATGGCCCCGACTATCATACAGTGGATCCTGGATACACGGCATCTATGGCCGGAAGCCGCTGAAACGAAGCAACTCGAACAAGCCGTACGTACTGCACCCCGTTCTTGATCGAATCTGCATTGCCGTTTGCCCGTTGCCCCATGCCCGTTTCGCGGCTCTGTATTATTCAAACATGTCCCGGCGAACCATTCCAAAACTGCTCATCCCAAGTCGTCACCCCTCCCTCCCTTTTCTATGCAACAGCAACTTCGAATTTCGAAGCTCCCCTGCCCCCTGCGTGTCATTTACTCCTGGAACAAAGGCGACCTTCATAGTGGAAGACAGAAGGAAAAAAAGAAACCGAGAAACAAACTGACACGAAACTGAACCCGCTGATTAGGCATCCCGAGCTTTCGCACTCCTCAGCGCCGATGAGCGTAAAGCCGTACTAAAGTACTACCACGTTCGCGACGCGAAGCTGTCTCTGGGTTCGCACCTCCTGAAACGTTACGCCATCAGTCGCTTCTGCGGCGTCCCCTGGCACGATGCCACTGCCATCCGCGACGAGCGCACCAAGCCCATCTTTCGCACCGCTGACGGCACCAGCCCGCTGAGCTTCAACGTGAGCCACCAGGCAGGGCTGATCGCCATGTTCGCGGTCCACGGCTACGATGTCGCCACGAGGGGCCCCGTCGACGTGGGCGTCGACATCGTCTGCACCTCGGAACGCCGCACCAGGGACCATGGTATGCTGACCAAGGAGGGCTGGCCCAAGTTCGTCGAAGTCCACGCCGACGTGCTCTCGCCCATCGAGGCCAACTTCCTCAAGTGGCAGGTCCTGGCGGCGATCCCGCCGGGGTTGAAACCGGGCGCCTCGCTCGAGGACGCGGCCGACTTCAAGCTGCGGTGCTTTTACGCGCTGTGGTGTCTGCGGGAGGCGTACGTCAAGATGACGGGCGAGGCGCTCCTCGCACCCTGGCTGGGGGATTTGCAGTTCAAAAAGTTCCGGCCGCCGACGCCTGCGGAGAGTTTTGGTGCCGAAGGCGAGGCGGTCGCGGATCATGAGATTATGTTCAAGGGGGCCAAGGTGGAGGATGCGAATGTCTCCCTGAGGGCCCTGGGTCCGGACTACATGACTTGCTCTGCTGTCCGGACGCCGGAGCACAAGGAGGATGGATTGGCCTTCGAGCTGGGGCCGTACAAGATGCTGGATATAGACGAGGTGCTCGCTTTCGGAGAGGAGTACCAGTAATTCATTATTCATACTTTGCTTGTATATTTGTTCTTATATAGATGTTTGTAGATCTGTCTCATGATTGAGGCTGATGACTTTGCATAATATAGCACTGGATATGAGCAATCTCACACTTGGATGATTCTCAGGAGACCTTTATTGCCTCGTATCTAGGCTATCTGTCTTTTCTCCCCTTCTTCTGACGGAGCGAATTGGAGTCTGCCTGTTATCGGATAGGTTCGAGCTCTCTTAGAATTCTTTGAATCAGCTTCCAATTTCAATTCGTTGTGTGTCGTCTTGAGCGACTGTTGCTTGTTCAAGACCGCATTCTTCCCATCCGCTCACATCGTCAATCACGGGATTGTCCTCCAAAACAGCCCGACATTTGCCCTGCACAACAATGATCACAACACGCATTTCATTCAGCATAGAAATCTGAGGTCCAGGAAGCCTCTAAGGATCTTAGTTCACCAGAGGCCAAGATTCATAAAACTCCTTTGATGTCCTGTAAGCATAAGTGCTAATCTACTTGCATCCAACCATCACAGAACCAAGTGTAAAAGCAGTGTTGAGACTATCGTGCATTCATAATCGTAGGAATGTCTTGCATTCACTCCCCCCGGGACATGAACCATGCTAGGTCTCCAAATGTCTTTTGCAGTTGCAGGAACCTTGGTTTGCTCTCTCTCTCTCTTTAATCTTAGGTATTTATAAAATGTGCGCCCTCGCAGATGATGTGTCGTGATTGGAACTCCGAAGTGTCCTCTCTTGTCGTGTGCTTCATGTAGTTGCTCTGCCGCTGAGTCCTTGCCGATGCATCGAGCCAAGCTGCTGTCCGTCTCGTTCCTCTGCAACTCACACTCCTGGATCCGGTATCTGGTTGCCTTTGCTCTGACTAGACGTTTCTTGTCTCTCGAGAGGTGTTCGATTGCCGCTGGTCCTTCGAGGAGGAACTCTCACGAAGGAAATAGACCTTCAACGCTATTTTCCTGAACGGATTCGTTGTAACTTTGAAACGAATACGTTGAACGAGAGGATGACAAGGTGACGGCAGAAAACATAAATTGGGCAGTTCTTGTTCACCCGTTAGGTATTAGGAAGATATCGTGCTTATATCCGTATTGGGCAAGTGTAACCAAGTTCAAGGGCGGCGGTGAACTGGGTCCTTCATTGCGTGCTTTCTTTTTCGAATGGCCGCGTTTATACTACACCTTTTTATTCATTCGATTATCTATCTTGTAGCTGCTTGCTCGGGCGGAAGGCGGTACTCAGTCAGCTCCTCAGTATGAGTGGAGGCCCTCGCCAGCTCAATGAAACTAATCTTCTTGATTTTCCCTCCTACAAAGCTCATGATCACGAACTGATCTTATCAACGGCGATGATAGGCGCGACGCCACCTTATAAGGTTGGATGTGTACCCAACCGACTTTACACTGTCCCTCAAGGTAATGATAGCTCGCCACCATGGTATCGGAGACACCCCGTTGCCGTCATAAAAGAACGATGCCACCGCTTCGAGGCACTGATGTGTGACGCATTCCAACACCCGCTCATATACACGTCACACATTCGTTACCTCTTTACTTTTGTCAAAGCCAAAGCAAACCACTATAGGCTGCCGCAACAGTTTCACACTATGTCTTACCTCAATTATTTCCTTAATGTCTTCATCGATACATTCGTCGATTCCGTCATCAGCGACCTCGCCGATATCTTCGTCAACGCCTTGTTTGGCAAGTAAAGTATGGTTGAGTTGGGATCCACAAGCAATGAGCAACTGTATAGAGTCGCTCATAACGGATGGGTGTCTTGACGTCTCTTGTTCTCGGCCTTCTCAAATACTCGATACACCCAAACGACCCCCGAACCAGTCTCCAAGATCCAGCATCAACATAGGTTCGCCAGCGCAAGTTCAGGCCGATACGAACTCAGGTCCCATACCCACTTCACCTTCAACCAACTGCTCGCCTCCTCCCCTTCCTCTGGGATCTCCCCAAACGCCTCGACAGGAAACAACCAAAACCCAAGCGCCGGTCTCGGCGCCGCAGCCAACGCCTCGGGCCCATCAAACTCAGGCCGCTTAGCCTGCAACCCCGACGCCGTCGAGAAACATCCCGCCGGTCTCTCGCCGCCGGCACGTCCTCCGGCCGCGGGAGTGTCCCACCCGTGAAACCACCACTGCAGCTCAAGCCACCGAAAGTCCTCCTCATGGAGGACCCTCGCCGCATCCTCGCGGGTGCGAATGGAACCCTCCTCGCTCGAGGCGTACATGATACGGACGTCCAGATCTCGGTCCTGACCTCTGTTTGCCACGTCCTCGGGCCGTACGCCAGCATCACGAAGAAGCTTCCGCCAGCCGAGGGGGCCTTCCCTCGGATCATACACGCTCCCGCCAATCTTTTCAAGATCCCGCACGATGCCGACCCTTGGATCCGGTAGCGGTGCGTCGAAGAAGGTGAAGTTGGGAAACACGGGGACGCCGTAGTTGAAGACGTGGACGCGCCTCCAGTCCAGCACGTTGAGGGCGCGGGCGCCGCGCGGTGTGCATTTGAACCAGAGGCTTTTGAGGTTTTTTGCGGCGGTGGCTCTGAAGGCGTCTAGGGAGGGGCCTTCGGCGAAGGTGTGCTTGAGTGGCGATGGGTTGTGGGTTGATGTCCGGTAGTCGGATCCTTCCACGACTAGGTGCTGGAGACCGCGGCCTTTGGGGTCGTAGGCGCGGAGATCGTGGATGAAGTCGAAGAAGATAGTGTGGGCTTTTCCATGGGAGACTCGGAGGTAATCCCAGTCCAGGTTGAGTCGGATGGTGGATATTGTTTCGCTATGTTTGTCACGTCTAAATCGGCATGGTAGTTGCGTTGAATAGAACGATAATACGGCGTCTCGTGCTTCCCTGTTCACTCTCGTGAGATCGGGCAACAGGGACCGTTGCGTCTCGATGATGGCCTTGTAGTGGTACCCAGAAATTCGACGACCCAGACTATTAATGAGAGTATCAGTTTCGTCGACAATGCGTTCATCTTCTTGTCTCTGCTCCTTTCCTTTTTCAAGGATGATATGTATCATCCGATGACGCTGCAACGCATGCTTCCAAATTAGAAGACGAATTTCTATCGGAAACTGTTGGAATAATACAAAGCTGGCATCTTTGGTTATTGCAGAGTCTGGATTGAATAGCTCAAGGTGCGGCCGCCTCGGCATCGTCGTCTCCATCTCAATGTCTTGATCGGACCATGGTCTTCATGAGTTCCGGAGAGTCGAGACTCGACGACCTAGACACTGGTTACACAACAGAAATGGACATGAGGCTTTAAATTCCTGACGTAAGGTCGGGCAGGAATGCGGAGGCAGTGGATGTGGCGTTCAACGATGTCTCAAATCGTCGAGGCGCAGCTGTCATTTTGGGGTATGGTCATCTACGTCTTCCCCGATTGGGAAATTCGATGAAGTGATGTAGTTGCGATATGTCACGGAATCCACTCCGGTCGCTGTCGCGGACTCACACTTCTGCCGCTGGCTGGCCAGAATCGTTCCTGGGAAGATGTCATAGAAAATTTCGAAGTCGGCAGTAGGCTGTTGCAGCAAATGGTCAAGGCCGACTTTGTCCAAGGTAGGAATACTGTCGACTGATGCTCCCAGGGTACCCAAAAGCGTAGCCGCGGGTTCGTCGTGTTGGATTTCCTTGAACCTCGTCTCTGGCCATTGGGGAGCTCTGTTCTATTGAATATTGAGAAAACTAAGATCTTGGTCGGTGGCTGGCGGCAGGCAGCAGCTATAAGAGTGTTTGATTCGGCGATGATGTTGATAATGCCAGACTGGATTGGTAGGTAATGTTAGACTGGCCATCCTGGTGTTTTATCACACTAACTGCACAGCTGCTGAGCGACTTTCATCCACCATATTTACCTCTTTGTTGTTGATTTCCTCGATCTCCTTGTTGTGATCATCCTAGTATGCGTTGGTAGTGTCGATCCACTCATTCGTGGGAGACTGGACGGGATCTGTCATACAGAATCGCAATTCACGTATCGATATCCTGGGCTTGAACTAGACTATAAGTGCCGCAGTGCGTTAATAGGTGTCACATGCATATTCGACGAAGAACAGGCTACAAACAGGCAAGGACGTCCCGTACTTTTTGTCTGAGTAGTCAGTCATTTGCTAACACCTTGGTACGCGAGATGGAAAAAACCATGCTGGAAAGCCCAGGGACCGAAACTTCGATTCACCCTCTTCAGTGGCAGTTATGCAAGAAATGGGCAAGAGCCAGATGGCTACTGACGTTGAATTTATACCTCTTGGCTACCAGCCCTCTGCGGCAGACTAAATCCGCAACCCAGGACCCTCAAGCTTCTTCCACACCTTTTCCGCATTCTCAGCCAGCCTGGGCAAAACAACACCAACACCACTAGGCGGCTCAGCCCGATATAAAGGAACCACGCGCGTAGCCCCCTTGGAAACCTCCAGAATCGTCCCGTTACCGTACTCTGGATTCTCGCACAACTCAAGCATGCCCCTTGCAACCTCCTCCGGCTCGAGGAACAGCTCGACGCCCTCGCCCTGCGTCATGTGCTTCTTTCCCGGGTCCTCCGACCACATTGGAGTCTGTGTCTTCTCGTCAGCAACAGTCTATTTGAGCAACCCGCACATGAGAGTGTAGACATTGACATAGAATACTACTCACCATCACGGCCCCAGGCGCAACAGCACTACACCGAATTCCCAACCGGTCCCTCATCCCCGCCATACACCTCACAAAGCCGTGAAGACCATGCTTGCTCGCAATATATAACGGCGACCCGATCCCCGCCGCGTGCCCCGCGATACTACTCACGTGCACCAAACACCCTCTTTTCCCCTCCTGCGTCCAGTACCCGATCGCAAGCTGGCTCAGCCGGATTGGATGCGTCAGATTCACGTCCAGAACGGCGTACGTTCCCGGCTCCGCGTCCGCCGCGTCTCTTGATTCACTGTCCGGGTTCGTTCCTGTCTTCGGAGGGTGCCAGAAGGAGCTCCATGCTGGTTCGAAGAGACCCGCGCCGGGGACAACGATGTCGATTTGGGGGAAGGAGGAGAGAGCGCTGGACCAGAGACGGGATAGGGAGGGCCAAGATGCGACGTTCGTTTCTTGGAAGAGGGCTGAGGGGCGGTCGCTTTTGTTTTTGTTGTTGTAGGTGTTACTGCCGGGTTGGGGGTGAGGGTATTGCTCTAGGAGCTTTTGTGCTTCGTGGCGGAGGGCGAGGTCGCCTATTATGACGGAGCAGCCCTTTTCCAGGAGTAATCTTGCAAAGGCGAGGTTTATGCCTGTGAGGTGTTAGTATACCGGTGGTCCCGGGAGGAGCGTTGATGTCGGAGGAGTGGGTTAGGAGAGGGATGACCTGATCCTGCGCCGGTGATGACTGCGTATTTTCCTGCCACGGACAGAGACATGGTGCCGACAGCCCTTATAGTTGGTGAAGCTGAGGTATCGTGTAAAAGTCTGACAGAAGGTGAAGTTGTCACAGCAGAAAAATTAGGGCACCTGTCATATCGAGTGATCAAACAGCCGTGCCAAGGTGTCTCAATGGGGTCACACATTGCCCGCTCGACTCTGCAGCCTCTGAGGATGCCGCCACTGACGGGTACCATCACCCGGTGCAACCATTCAACCTGTATCTGGAAAAGGACTGCATGTTGTCGGATTGGTACATGGCTTGAGGGGTCACTGGATGTTGGCGTGGGGGGTAGTTGTCCATTAGAAGAAACCCCACCTGTTCATACAGATTTGGCATGTGTACAGAGCTTTGGGGTGTCGTTAATGTCACAATGCGACACAAATACAAGGTACCGGTACCAAAATGAACAGAGAGCGGGACAGTTGTAAAGTACACCATTGGTGCTAGCCTACCACCAGGAACTAAATCCAACCCTCACCCCGTCTTGGACCCCCTTTCCTCATCAGGAACCCGTCTAGATGTCTCATTCGACGCAACCAAACCCTCCCGGCGCCGATCATTCTCGTCGTCCTCCGGCTTTCCCTCCCGCGTCGCCCATCCATCAACGTACCGTAACGTCTGCCGGCTCCAAACCTTGTTCATAAAGAACAACCGCACGGGCACCAGAATAATGATAATGATGGGAAACCCGGGTGCGGCAACAGTCAACGTGACACCAAAGACGATGCCCGTGAGCACGATCTGCGCGATCGTGTAGCAATGAATCCCTATCCAACTAGCGCCGTGAGGCAAGGCAGGCAGCTCCGAAATGGGCGTCAGAAGGTGCCAGATCCTCGTGAGGATCGGGTTCACAGACAGCGATTGGAAACCCATGAACATGAAGAGGCCCGCTAGGACCGAAGTCGGCGTGAAACCCAGCACGTGCTGAAAGGGCGGCGAGACGAAGAGCAGGATACCTGCCGCCTGGAGGAAGGCCGAGTATCGCTGCTCGTGGACGCGCTGGACGGGTTTCGCGGGGGGGCCCTCGCCGGGCCCTTCCTCCTCGGCTTCTTCGTCGACGGGCGGCGGGTCCTCGTAGACGGTGTACATAAGCGACTCGGAGTGGAGCGGCGCCTGCGGAAGGAGTCCGTTGGCGGGCGGGATGCCGAGGATGCCGCACATGATTGTCGTGATGCCCAGGAGCATGACGTCCCACGCGTACCCGCCGGGCTTCTGGGTACCGTACCTCTTGGCTGTGCAGATAATGCTACTGATCTCGTGGTCAAAGTAGAAGAGGACGGTTATGATGATGCCGGGGACGATGGCGATGAAGATCCAGCCGATGGGAAGTTTCCAGAACTCGACGAAAAAGTACTCGCGGCTCGGTGACGACGGCCGGAACGACTTTGAGACCTCGAGCCTGTTGTGGTCGAGGGCCGCCAGGTCGCCGACGTACGGCATGCCGATGAAGAAGACGATGGAGATGGCGGCGGCGTACTCGGTCAGGCCCATGCGGATGTACCGGTGGAACAGCGGCTTCCACGACACGGCCGTCGAGAGGGCGATGGCGAGGAGACAGGTGCCCGCGGCGCCGATGATGGAGTAGAGGAAGGCGGCGAGGGAGACGGCTGCTTTGGTGCGCTGGAGCTCCCTGATGGCCTTGTGGAAGTAGATTACGCTGTTGAGGAGGGAGAAGATGTCGGCGCTGAAGTCGGTGACGTATTGCATGGTGTAGTCGTGGGCGTTGAAGATGGCCAGGAGGAAGTGCATCCAGCCCGAGTGAATCAGGGACCAGGCCATGAAGGGCAGGAAAGGGATCTGTCCGTAATTAGTTTGCTGGTCATATTGTATTCTTCTGAAAGATGATACACCTTGAATGAATTCTCGCATAGTGTGTAAATGTTCTCCGCCAACACTGAGAACGGCCCCGTAACACCAAGAATCGTCAATGGTTGAGCTGAGAACCTGCGGAAAATGTGTTAGACGATGATGTCTCAGGGTAATGAAACTCTCAGGCGAACAAGATAACTCACAAGGCAAAGATAATGCCGCAAAGCCCAGTACTAAACACCACCTCAATCGTGCCCCACGACTCCCCAGTCAAAACATACAAGTCGCTCGCGAACGTGATGCCGGGCAAGATATTGGTGAAAAAGACGTACACCGCGCTCGCCAGGACAAGCTGATTGAACACGGTCCAGTCAGAGAGGTACCTCAATCTGAAGTTGCCAAAGTCCTCCTTCAGCAGCCTGAATGGCCTCAACTTGCCATCTCTCTTCATGTAGCCACGCCATCTGTGGTTGTTCCTGTTGCTGGTGTCATTGTCACTGCTGTGTCGTCCACTTCGGCGCCTTTCTGAGCCCGTATCGTGGACCGAAACTTCATCAGGGCCTTCTGCTTTTTCAGTAGACCTCCTCCCTGCTTTATCGCTGATGAGACCGTGCGACTCGCGGACCGGCGTTATGACATCGTCCTGGTGTCGAAGTGATGTGGCCGAGGGTGGTCCGCGGTCATTGTCTGGCCCCGCGGGCGTAAGATTTGGTGGCATGTGGGAGGGGGCTTTTACGACTATCAACACAGAACGAGCCTGTGTGCAGTCGTCAGACACACGAGAGATGGCAACCCAATGCGCTGGTAATGAGAAAAAATGTGCTATGGCGATCTACACGATATAGAAGTAATCATGTACATGATTTTGAAAGCCCAGAAATAGATAGGAACCGAAGGTTGGTACTGGAAATAGACAAGAAACACTCGACAAAAGCCAGAACGGTTAAACGGCAGAGGCGTAAAGAACTCAAAACACTACAAGATACCGCTAATGCAAACCTTTGCTCATCCCAACGAACTCCATCTTGCAGCCCAAGGTCCATGGATTCCCTTGACTCGAACAAGTTCTCCCAAGCACCTTGACCAGGGCTTCTCAAAAAAGAGAAGGTTCGGGCCCCGTTTCGACAAATCGACATCCCACCATTCCCCACGTGCTCATTGGCCAGTCTTGGCAGACCATGACCCCACTGACAGCCAAGGGTACGTAGTGCGCCCGGTCTAAGCTGGGATAGCTCTCGAGGCTGACGTCATGGCTCGTCGGCGTCGGGGCCAGTAGGTTGCCCCTCCTCCCTTTCCAGGGATCATCTAAAGCCACAGCCAATCAGAAGATACGACCGCTGCGAGGCTATCGGACAATCGGCGCCAGGCTGAAGAAATTTCGACACGAACCAACCTTCATTGCTCCGAAATTATCAGCTTCAACCACCTGCAAACGTCAGCCCCTCCCTCCCACCACCGAGCACTTCTTCCAAGGAAGTCATTTGCTCTCCCCCAACGATGAAAAGGTGATCGCAAGGAACGGATCCTTAGCACAAGGGTGCCCAAATATCCCCCCCAACCCCCGTCCCCGTCCCAACCCCCACAACCCCGGCGATGCTGCTCCCGACCGCCGCACGCCGGAGCGCAACCACGGCCGCCACCGCCGCCTTCGCGCCCCGCCTCCGCTTCGACGTCTCCGAATCCATCCCCCGCTCCTACTACCTAGGCCACCACCACGCCGCCCTCCGCGAAATCTCCTCCCGCCTCTCCGACGTCGGCCTCGTCCTCGAGTGCCGCGACTACCGCGTACCCCTAACCAGCTGGAACCCCGTCCTTGACCGCGCCATCGCCGGCCGCGAGCGCATCGTCGTCTACACCCACCGCGACCTCGGCGCCGACAGCCCCGCCTCAGTAGAACAAGCCCTCCGCCGCTTCCACAATGGTACAGGTCGCTCTGCCACCGGCGGCGGTAACACCTCCACGACCCGGCAGCGCGTTGTCTTCTGGCGCAAAGACGACCCCGCCACCACGAAACAACTCCTCTCCGAAATCCGCAGCGTCGCTCGCTCAGTCGACAGCCTAACCGGCATGCGCGCCCTCGTCGTCGGCATGCCCAACGTAGGCAAAAGCACCCTCCTCAACAAGCTCCGCGTCCACGGCATGCACAAGAAACAATCCGTCGCAAAAGTCGGCGCACAACCGGGAGTGACGCGCAAGCTCTCCTCCCCCGTGCGCATCCTCGACTCCGAGACCAGCAGCGCCGGCGACAGCAACGACACCATGGGCCTAGGCGAAGGCGTCTTCGTCCTCGACACGCCCGGCGTCTTCATGCCCTTCGTCTCCGAAGCCGAAAGCATGGTCAAGCTCGCCCTCGCCGGCTCCGTAAAAGACGACCGCATCCCCATGGAGATCCTCGCCGACTACCTCCTCTACCGCCTCAACCTCGTCGACCCGGGTGCCTACGCCAGGTACTCCGAGCCCACGAACGAGGTCAACGAGTTTCTGACGGGCGTCGCCCGCAGGACGGGCAAGCTCAAGAGCGGAGGGGAGGCCAACGCCGACAGCGCCGCCGACTGGATCGTCAAGCAGTGGAGGGTCGGGAACTTGGGCAAGTTTGTGCTCGACGACATCACCGACGAGGCCTTTAAGGACAAGGAGCTGGCGAGGGAAGGGCAGGGCCCGCTCAGCATGAATCAGGCGCGGAGAAAGGAAAAGGAGGCGAGGAAAGAGCGGGCAATGAACAAGAGCAAAGCGGTTTAAGGGGCACAAAAAGTGAGTAGTAGTAAAATTGTCCCGTGTGAGAATTATGGAAAGATACCCCCACACTCTGTATCAAAATACATGTAAAGTAAAGTCATTGCCTCGTATGAGAGCAAATTTTGTACACCTTATCCTTCAAGAAAATAGAAACCGAGTAGATCAGGGTGGAAAATACTCGAGATGAAAAAGCAAACTCAACCGAACTTGAGTGCATCACTAACAACGTCGACCGCAATCTTGGAGACTCGCAAGTGTCCGGGTATCCGACAACTCTCCTCGAACCTGACATTATCAACTGACAGTAGAACCGCACAGCCAGTGCGTACATGAGCAATGGCTCGTGATTGAACTGCCTTCCGGTCTTTTGTTCGAATAACATTTTCAACACCCCAAAACAGACCAAACGCCGCGAAACATCAAACCGTACAGAGTTGCCAGATGCCGTCGAGGGCAGACTCTTAGTATCGTACTCCGAAACGAAAGCAACCATTCGGCTTCAAGTGAGCGACTCTTCGCTTATATAGAGGGCAGCTACGGCCAATCTAGGCCAGCTCATGACGCATATTGATTCTGCCATCGCAGCAGGTCTCGCGTGAGGGCATCCATCATTTCCACGCAATTCAATGCTTTAAAATCTTTCGACTCCGGCCCATTCCCGTCTGTTGCTGCAGTGCCGATTGGTGAATTCTTTGCTACTGCGGAGTCGCCGTTGACGCTAATCTTTGGCGCATCTGGCGCAGCCGTTGCGCGAGGACTTTGTTGTTGGGAGCTATTCTGGCTACTCCTGGATCCCGGTAGTGCTTCGCCAGCCAATTCCACTTGGGTTTTGGAAATGAAGTCGAGGAACGCCGAAACTCTGCGTTTCATGTCGTTCATCGATACTTTGCTATGCGCACTATTTGCTTTTGTCCGGGTGTGCTTGGGGTGGTCGGAATGGGAGTGTTTGCTGGTACTAGCGCCAGTATGGTCGTCATGATTCCGGCCAATGTCTCTAGACATTGACCTTGCTGGTGTGTCTTCGTTATCGTCGCGGTCTTTTGTGTATTGATTTCGACCCTTGCCCCTCTTCTGGTTGTTACGACTGGTCTTCTTGTGTGAGCTTCCGACCGTTGCCTGATTCGCAGGCGGAGTATCCGGAGTCGGGGCAGAGGACGGTGGCGCCTCGACAGGCACCACAGGCTCGGTGGTCGGTTTGACAGCAGGCCGAGCTGTCGCGAGGGGGACCTCTTCTGGCGGATCCGATTCTGCGCCCACGTGAGCTTCAGATTCCTTACCCGGATTAACAGGAGTCGTACCCTCAGCTCTCCTACGATCTGCACGACCCTTCCGTCGATTGGCTGCTTCCGCTCGCTGGCGATCGCGCTCTTCTCGATCCGACTTTTCACGTTGCGTGCGTGTGCCGCGAGGCTTCTTTGATTGGCCATTTCTACCCGTACTTTCTTCGTCTGTTTCATCCTCGATGGCTTCGGTCTTCTCTGGGGGCGGTGACATTGATGGCGAACTGGTTCGCTGTCTCTTGAGGCTTGCCGAGTTCCTGGGACTGTTAGCGGGAGTCAGCGTAGTGAAAGATTGAAGACTCACTCAATACTGTCACTGCGACCTCGCTTCGTTCGTCTTGACGTAGTCTCCGTGGGCTCCGAAATGGTTTCTTCTTTGCTGGCCTCGATGGCCCGCCGCAATTGTTCATCCTCATCGTATGCGGCATCCCGGCTGTTCATTGTTGACCTCCGCTTCGAGGCCTGGGTAGCAGAAGAAGCGCGGCCCCCGTTCCTGCCTGATTCTCTGGGCGATCTGGTGCCATCCTTAACTAATGAGGCGGCTCGGGATGTTGCGCGCGACGGACGATTGAGAGGCAAGTAGTTTGAGTACCGTTGTCTGAGGAGCGAAAAATCAGCATTGTTAAGGTAACAAGAGGTGTTGTTGGTTGAGCCTCGCCGCATCCGAGTACAAGTCTTCCGCTGACCTCGCCGCCGACCGACGCTTTCCAGCCAATGGCGGATTTGTGGGCGACAAGTCACCGAGAGCTTCTGGACGGAAGGTGGAATGCTTACCCGTTGGCTGCTGCGTGGATCTTGTGCAAATCCTTGCGACACTTTTCGCAAAAGTACTCATCGGGAGAGCTCTCCTCGGTGAAAATGCCGACACAAGCACCATGCTGCCAGACTTTGCAGACGTCGCACTGGACGAAGAGACCAGAGACCTCATCTGACAACTCGATGCTAGCGAAGAAGTCGGCCTCTGGGTTGTGTTTCCCGTGCTTGGAGTCCTCTTCAAAGGGCGGAGGTCCCGGGTATTCGTCGAAACCACATACGCAGCGTACGGACTCGTCGTCCTCTTGGACGTCGTCACTGCCGGTGGCCATATCGTAGGGATCGACACGAGGCTTGTCGCGAGCGTCTTCTTGCGCGCGGGTTCGGCGCCGTGAGGGGAGGGCGTCCTCCAGGTCTTCGGGTGGCTCCGAAGAGAGCGAGGCGCTCGGGGTGGACTTGGCGGAAGAGGTCTTGTTGAGGGATCTGGTCGTTCGTTCGCCGCGACTCGAAAGACTCGAAGTTGTCGAGGATTGCTGTGATTGAGAGACTGTGTTGCCTCGGGCTCGTGAAGAACGTCGAGGGGAGGGTGGTGCCATTGAGGCAGCGTAAGGGGACGGCGGAGAGAGAGGAGGAGGAGGGTGGAGGAAGAGTTCGGAAGAGCGAGGAGGAGGGGAGGAAGAGTCGGCGGCGGCGTGTGAGTGACGCAGTAAAGGATGTCGCAGTCGCAAGAGTTGAAGCCAGAAGGCAGAGAGTAGAATTGGAATGTCGGGGCGAGGGGGAAGATTGGTAAGGTAAGGTAACGAGAGTGGGCAGAGAGCAGGTCGGGTGGGTTGTTGTGGTTGTAGTGGGAGGGCAATCGTGCGAGCGAGAGAGAGAAAGAGAGCAGGTAGCAAGAAATGGATGGGCGCGACTCGCAGTCCGGGCTAGTGAGAAGGGAGGATTCGGGTACTCGAGCAATGCTTTTGAGGGGATCGAACAGTTCGCATATCTGACAATCGAGAACAAGGTAGATTCATGTCGTGACGGGTCGGTAGAGTGAAGAAGAGAAGAGAGAGGAGCCGGCGTGGGGAGGTGGAAAAGGTCAGAGAAAGAGTGCGCCCTGGGAGAATGGTTCTCTGGGTGAAGGAAAACCGACAGGCGACAGAGCAGCAGCACCGCACTTCTTTCGGGCTTGTAAAGTGTGGTGCGGCAGCCTCTTTGGCTCTGGCGTGCAGGAGCTGCCACTGCGTCTGCCACTGCCCTCCGAGCAACGCACCCAGGGAAAAGAGCAGCTTTGCGGGGCTGGGGCCAGGTGCTGCCAATGGGCTGCCGTCTACCAATGGCTACACAGGTGATTGTGGTGCATAAGTCCCTGCACAAAACAGAAGAGAGGAAGGGATCTCGGGGGCGGAGGTGGGATGGGATGGGAATTGTGTTGTGCGTCTTGTGCTGTGCCGCCGTCGGAAAAACCATGGCGATGACAGTCTGTGTACTCGCTACTTTGGGCGGCACTGTGCTTCTCCCACAAATTGCCCTCCAAAAAGGCAGAAAATCGGAGTACCTGAGACCAGCCAACTGAGCAGCATCAGGGATTTTCTTCCGAACCCACTCTCCATGGTCTCTCCCATGGCCTCTCCCAGAGTCCCAAGCACAGGTCCCCCGCCCAAAGCTACAGTTCATGATTTTCCCCTGCCAACGGTGCTCGTCTAATCTCCAAGCCTAATTTACCACCCGCTCTCCCGCCGTCTCTCCATTCTGCATTCTGCGGCGAGTCACTTTTATGCACAGCACACAGTGTGTGTGCATCCCTTCTCTTTCCACTTCCACCTCAATCACTTTAAACCCTTCCGTGCTCCGTCGCTCCGTCGTCACTTTCTCTCGCCTGTCCGCCTCGAGCTTTGGGTTCTGGATCCATCAGGTAACCCCCCCCAAAAAGGCCCGCCCCAACCTCCCACCCCGACCAGTCCATCCGCAGCGGAGCCCTGGCTTGCTTATCTAATGCGTTTCGACCGGCCCTCGTTGACCTACGTCTCCTAATCACACACCAGACATTATCAAATGCTGTCATTAGCAATCAAAGCTGGGAAATTCGGTACCAACGCTGACTTTCCCACACTTCGTTCAGAGCTCGAGCAACCCAGCAGTCGCCTTTGCATTTTACCTGAACAGTGGTTTGCGCCTGACTGCACACTCTGCTTATTCTAGCTCTTGGGTGCCCAAAGTCGAACACGGAGCAAACCCGGCCGAATTCTGGTGGACCGAGTTGGTATGCCCGCTCCCCTCTTCTGGCGAACAAGTAGAGGTCCGCTCGTACCTTACCTGAGCCTCTTTGCGCAGCCCTCCCTTGATTCGTTCAAGGGTAGGAGGAAACTATCGATCGGACCTGGTTGAACGTGCAGCATATGTTTGTCTGGCTTGTCCTTGGGCCAGCTCTCTGTTGCCGACATACGCTGATGGTTGGGCAAACTCAGGAATCAAGGGTTACGAGCTCCTCCCGCATTTAATACGGATCCATACCCCCCCCCCTCTCGAACCTCCCAATCCACCACCGTACGAGAGCCTTTTTTTGCTTCAGCAACACCAATACGAACCCCCCCCCCCCCCGTCGCACTGCTAGCAGCCTCAAGCTTCGTAACGTGAATCGCCCTGTCCGCGTTGGCCTGCCTTGCATGGCTTGTAGCATGAGGTGTTATGGGTATGCGTCGCTCTTCTCCAAGTTCAACTCCCGCCACCACCTTGCCATACCCACCTTCTCGACCACTGCTTTCGAAGGATGCTGCCACTATAACCCTCCGGCGAATGTCAGGCGCTGCTTCGCCGGCGCTCGAGACTCTGGAGCTGGCTGTGGCGGCCGACTGCACAGGTCATGCGCCTTTGAAACTCACCGGCCTGAGGCTTTACCATTCGACCGAGAAGCTTGCTAACCTCGATGGTTCTTATGCGGAAGCAGGTCATAATCGAACAATGTCTCCCGAAAGCGTTTCCTCTCTATTCCCCCAGAGACCGATTCGTCCTTTGCCGAAGCGTCGCTTGAGGGAACGCCTCTCTCCCGAGGTGGCGGACTCCATCGACTACCCCCCTGCAAACCACAACAGTAGTCCTCTGTTCTACTACCCAAATATCGTGCGAGATGAGATGCCCTTCAGGGCAGGAGGCTTGAACGGTGCGAGTCGAGGTAATGGAGGGTATGGAGGAGCAACCCGAGGAACACCAGCGATTGGAGAGAGTGACGAGGAGGAATTAGCCCTGAGCAGCAGCAAAGTGGTTCGGCGTTCACATCCAGAGATACTCAACCGCGTCTCAACGAAGCCTCCGAAACCGGAACACTCCAAGCACCCCAGTCCTCAGCCGCCACCTTCGACAACATCCTCAGCAGATGGGTACGAATCATTCGAGAACACCAATAACAAGAAGAAGAGGAAGATTCCGACTGCTGGAGACTCGACACTATCTGGTGTGCACTCCATGGGTGATATCAACTCTATAGGTGTATCAACAGTCATGTCTCCGTCAAACGACCATGGTGACCTCGCTGGATCGATATCGCCGTCATACTATGGGGCTGGAAGTTTTGTTGGAAACAATCAAGGCATCTCAGGACCAGGACGAGGCAGATTTGGAAGATCAAGAAATGGCAGAAGTCCACTTAGGGCTCTATCTGACGCAACAAACAACTGGGTGGGTAGAGGAGCCAAGATCCGGCCGCCTCAATGGGCAACGCCAAGTAAGTGTGAAGATCTGATCCCTGTGTGTTAAAGACGGAAACCAGATGGGAGAGGCGAAAGACGCCTGATGCGATGCTGTAGTGCTTGATGGCTGGGTTGGTTGCTGTTGAATGAAAGGGAAGGCGGCAGCTGCACCTCACAGTAGATTGCTCCTGCACCCTTTGATTCCAAACGCAGGCATCCACGCCCTTGAGTACAAACACCAGCTTCTCAGCTCCTTCACCTCGACCTTTCCCACAGCGATCACAGCATCCGCATTGTTTTGCGTATTTATCGCAACGCTGCGTTTCTGGGATGCGCCGCTAATTCTTACATCCACAGACGAACATCCCGGCATCATTTCGAGTGCCATTGCGAATGCAGAAAAGGTCCACTCAGCTCCGGGTCAGGAAAACGTGAGCCTCCTCCATCAGCAATCCTCCAGCGTCAAATCTAGCCCCACTGCCACTCAATTCACCTTCACTTGCGACTCCCCAGTTCCAAAGCCTCACTGGCCCGGAACTGATCCTGCGATCTCCCACCCCGGATACCCCAGACAACCCAGGCACGCCTCGATGGCGACACAGACTACGCCAGATGCCGCCGGCACGGAAACTGGCTCAGGCGATCCTGCGCCTGCTGGCAAGAAGGCTCCCCGGGCCATGTCAAAGAAGAAGCGGCGTCAGCTTGCTGAGAAGGAATTGCGTAACGCAGCCAAGTCACGTCGTCAGGAAGCCGAGGAGAAATACTACAAAAATCCACCCAAGCTTGAGGATATGTGGATTTGCGAATTTTGCGAGTACGAGAGAATCTTTGGCTCGCCTCCTTATGCCTTGATTCGGCAATACGAGATCAAGGACAAGAAAGCCCGCGAGAAGGAGTCGGAGCGGAAGCGACTTTTGGAGAAGGCCAAAACCAAGGGCAGAAAGGCCAGGAAGCAAGCCAAGTCCCCCGCCAAGACAACACCATCTCATAACCACACCGAGGACCAAGGCGCTCATGCTCCTATGGGCCCCGATGAGAGCACCTCCAGTCCTGGCGATGACTATCTTGACGATTATCCGAATGGCAACTATCACAACGACGAAGACTTTGAAGATACATACTCTCAAGACGACCCGCCGATGTTGCTCAGCGACGACCCAGACCAAGAGTGTACTTGTCCACATACAACCTGCAGCGATTGCGGCGGAGACCAGAATGAGGTGGATGACCCCGGCGAGGCAGTTGACTGAAGAGGTCCACTCGCGGGCTTCCTGGGGTGCACAGCACTGTGATTTGGGTGACCGCACGTGGTCTCTTTCACTTACCCATACTTCATTATACCCGTTATCGCATCAATACAACAACACAGCATTGGCCTCACAGGTCTCAGCATCGGAGGCTGATCATTGGTCGGTTGGCTGGCAAGTGAAGGAAGCACCAACCTACTTGGACATTGCTTGATGATATTGGAAGTATCATGACCCATCAACTTGGGTTTGGACAAAGGCGCCTTTCAGCCACCCTTTGGAATACGCCCTCATCATCAAAATGTTACGCTCACTAGCGACCACCATTTTCAGCAATGGGAGTTAACAACCGAAAATACCAGAAAAAAACAAGGCAATACTCGTCTCAGAGAGTTCGAGTTCTATGCCACGATGATGGAACGCACCAAGCATTGCCCATGCCTTCCAACAGACCGTCGAGCTCAGAATCAAGCTCGTTCTGTTGTCCATTTGGAAAGCTGTTGAAGGAGGCTTGGAACTTTAATCAGCGGGTCAGGATGGATATTGGTCCAGCCAGGTCTAGACTTTTGAGGCTCAGGAAAGGGAGACGGGAGGTTGTCAAACGCCTCGTGAAGGTTACTTGTCAAAGATACATACACACACCCCTTGCCCCTAGACTACATCAAGTCTTCCCCAGCAGAATTGACCACCCTTACCTGAATTTCCTCTCGTTGTTTGTGACTTTCTCTACCGAACGATGTTTAAGGGTATCTTTGATGAACTTTCACTACCTCAGGCACAAGGTTCATTGGAAAGACCCGTAGCTCGATGCACCCTCGAGGTATGACGTCACGGATGTCTGCACTGACTAAGGTTGTACTAGCGGTAGGTCTAGCCTCCTCCATCGCGACCCTAAAGCGAACGACTCATTAATTGCAGAACATTGCCTCACTAAGCAGCTCCTTCAGACCATGTCTCCGTCATTATTCGGGGTTTTCCAGCTGCTCCTAGTCCGCCTCACTCGTGTTGCTTGGGTTGCAGCTTGGCCTTTGTTTCCTCACGAACCAAGGACAGGTGAATTGTTAAGTGGGTAACATGGAGATTTTGAAGCATCGGAAACTATCCCAAAACAATGATATCCGTATCTGTTTTTGCGCTCTTTCATATTTAGAACTTTTGTCGTGAGGTGGGAATTAGAACAGAGATAGCTTGGCCTACCGGCAGATGTCGCAGCGTAAAAGACCGGATTCCAACGCTACCGTAGAGGGCTCTGACCGCGCTATCCGCCTGGGGAATGTTTGGGTCTTCTGGGAGTTGGGACTGCGTCGACGGTTGAGGAGATTTTCTTTTTATTTACTTTTCGTTGCTTTCCGTTTCCCTGCGTGGCAGATCATTGCGGCTTGAGGGAGCATGCATAGACCCTGGAGGCTGATGATGTGTTATTCTCTGGGGGGGTGATGGAGCTGTCGGTAGTGGGTGTTATTGGGGTCGTCGGAGGGGCATCTTCGGAGAGTCACTCCGAATCGCATCGGTGTCATCAAGTATCTTCTCTTTCGAC